GGGGGGAGATCGAGTGGGGGGAGGGCCGGGGGAGGAACCGGCAGGATGGGGGGGTCTTACCTCCTCCTGCTGCTTCCTCCTCCGCCTTCTGACTTTGGAGCTCCATTTGGAGCTCTGCCTCCCTCCCCACCCCACCCCCCTGCGAGTATCGCGGGTCCACCCCTTGTATGCTCTAAGGCCGAGTGCAGTGGCACATAATTAATTATGCTTCTAGGATGTACTGGGCCTACAGACTACGTCCAAGGGTTGGTTCTGAACAAATCTTGTAGAGTTGAATTAAAGCATGTTTAAAAGAATGAATCGATAACCATGCATAAGATCAATCCTAGCTACCTTAATCTAATTTCCCTACATTGATTGCATTTCCAAACACTACTGAGACTATATGTATGACACCAGCTGATGTGTGTTGCCTTTTACTACATAGCGAGCTGCATAGCATTTTCCTGCAAAGGCTGAGAACCTTTCTTGTTGAGTTGCTGGCGTTGTCCTTTCAGGTGAAATAAGACATTGGGTTGGATTCAGCCAACATTTTTGCTGGTGAAAAAGGAAGGAAAGGTCCCTTTTGACTACCAGGAGCAGCACTGTTGGGGACTTGCCCAGACAAAAGCTGTAAGCAATCGGGGCTGTAGTAGGGATGCCAGCCTCCAGGTGGCACCTGAGGATCCCCTGGAATTACAGTTCATATCCAGAGTAAAGAGTTCATTTCCCTTTCAGCCCTGAAATATTACAGCTGGAAGTGGGGAGGCACTTGTTGAAACTAATTACTGCCAAAGATATTGTTGAGGCCTATTATTGCTCCTTATACGGGAGGCACTGAATGGTGCCTGGATTAAAATACCGATGGAACTCTTTTAATCCTTTTATTTATCCAGGATCTAGCATGAAAGAATTTTATTTTTCCATAACCGTCTCAGTAGGGGCTGTCATTTCAGTGCCTAGTACTGGACGTGTGTAAAAAGGCTAGAAACAAGGAGGGTGTTTCTTCACCTCCGGCATGTAAACAAACAAAAAATGATGACTTCTTTGCCTCAAACTTATCTCATTCAGTGTATGCTTTCCCAACTTCTAACCACTTTGCTCCTCTCATAAATTATGGGCCATACACTAATCAAGCAGCTCAGAGAGGTGAGGAATTTTCTCTGCTCAGGGAGGGCAAAGAAGAGCTCAAGGTTGTTAACTCTCGTGTTACTGTCAATTTTACAATTTTACAAATAATTTTAATCATCTGACTGCCAGAACTGTTGTCTCTATCTTTGAAAGATTAAAGTTAATTGAAGTAAAAACTGACCGACTTATTCAGAGGCTTCCAATGCATGCTACTCGAGGGGCGATTTCTCACTAGAGTTGCCTTGCGGTGCAGCCGCCGTTTGCCCAGACACAAACATGTCAATTTCACACCCGGGGCTGCGGGGCTGCATTTTGACTCGCGGCTTCACCCGATTTCCTCTGCAGTTTCGTGATCCTGGTTTTTGAGGATCACGAAACTGCGGAGGGAATCGGGCAAAGCCGCGGGTCAAATGCAGCCTCGCAGCCTCGGGTGTGAAATTAACATGTTTGTGTCGGGGCAAATGGGGCTGCGCTGCAAGGCAGCTCTAGTGAGAAATCGCCCAAGATGTTCATGGACCACTTCTAAGCAAAGGGTCCTCATTAAGCTTGGATCAGATAGAAGAAGAGGAGGAGGAGGAGGAGGAGATTGGATTTATACCCCGCCCTTCACTCAGAGTCTCAGAGCATCTTAAAATCCCTTTCCCCCTCCCCACAACAGACACCCTGTGAGGCAGGTGGGGCTGAGAGAGCT